CAAATTTCGGTAACTTTGTGTTCGTTGTGTTGTAGATGACCTGAAATGCGTGAAATGCGTGGTGTGACACAATCGTTTGTTCGAATAAGTGCTATTATCGAAGATCTTAGTCTTTTCTGCTCATTCGACGATGTAACAGTTTTGAACTTGTCGCCCATCGTTCTCCTAAGCCACACCGGGATTAATTAGTTTATAAATAACGACATAATTTTCCTGGAAGCATACAATCGGTGCTACGAATGAGGTTATTGCGATGATATATATAAATATATACATATCAAGACTACATATTCGACTTGTTTCCGATGTTCAGTACACGTCCTGTCGCCCATTTTCTCGTTTTGTAGCTGTGGCAAGGTTACTAGTGAACTCGGGCTAGAAAACTCATCCGACTGCCGTGGTAATCGCCCCATCGTGTTTTGATCGACCTTTGAAATGCATACGTTATTTTAGTGCATGACGTAACACGAGCCTCTGATTGGCGTACAGTTTTGGTTCTCAAATTTTCACTTATTCGTGCCAGATTGTTTTATATATTCACTTTTGTGTTGGAGCCATTGTACGTTCTCCGTCGGGTTTGTACTTCTGTAAATTCATTTTATGTTTGCCTTGTGAGTGACACTTAGCTACATAGTGCCTACCCTATTGGTCGATCAGAAGGAAGCTAGAAAGACAGAAACCAAAACCGCCGCATACAGCAGGATAGAGTGAATGATTGAGATAGCTGCGACTGATTGTGGTGAATATATTTACGGGTAATGATCTACCTCGTGCAACCTCACTCTCAATTAGGAGATACATTTCAGTTTCTAATATGATACCTGTATATCAATAGCTACAGCTGAAGAGCCCTCATCTAGTAATCGAACTAGATACAGATTATGGATCACGAATCACGGTCGCAACTGAAGCACAGAATCGCACTAACAATCGTACGCTGGGATTTCCAGTCACCGAGACGCAAAAAGGCCACAAAACTAGCGGTTAGATTATTGAAGAATAACAATGAGATCAAATGTTGGGTACAAAGAAATTTTATTGGTCATACAGGTATCCACAAATGGCCTCTTTATTCTTTACATCATACAGCTTCTGTCTGAATCGCACGACTTCTGATTTGTTGGTACAATTGGCCTGTGGTTTGTTGTTCGTAAACAAGAACACGTCTCTCCATGATTGGCACCGTCCCGTAGGCTAGGATAACCACACTTCGTTCCAAACCATATTCCCTACTGGAACGTCCTCAGCTCTCTTGTATCACTGTTTCAATTTCTGCGACCTTGAGTGTCACGATACAATTGGTAGTAGTTCAGAATTGAGAAAAACAGTTTATAGAAAGCAGCATGAAATTTCATTCTTTCTAATAAATGATTACTGTTTCTCGACTGTGTTTATCCTGGTCGATACAGGTACTCTAAATGGCTTATTTTTTTGTGCGGTGCACAGTAAGTAAACCGAATATCGAAAGTATTCTAGCCTAAGTAAATTGAACGAATTGGTTTAATGACTGATGCTTATTGCACACTATCCCTATGTCTGCTCATTTTTGCTCATCCAAATCAGTTGCCATCCGGTCTTCTTTACAGTGATGGTTCATTGCCTGCCTGCATTTTGGGAGCTCGAACTGTGGCTGCAAAGCATTCTGCTTGTATGTTCTTGGTTCCACCGACAGCTATTGTTCATGCTTTGACGGCCTTATGCGATTCCAGTTCAGAGTCCCTTAAATCCAATCGTTCAGAAAATTACACGCCATCCATGCTGCACATGAACGATTACCTTGAAGAAAGCTAACATGTGTTACCCCTGGCTTTTCAATCTAGTTGTGCATCAAAGATTCACGAAATTTATAGTAATAGTTGATAGATGTACTGTTCTTGATTGTACTATAAGGTGAATGTCACTGGGTCGCTGTTGATCTGGTCTGATGGATATCTCGATATGTAGGTATCATACTAGAAACTGAGATGCATTTCCACAATGAAAGTCATGTCGCACAAGTTCGATCATTGTACAAAACGATGGGATCTACGGAATGAAGCAATTATCGAGCGCAGCATTTGTGGGTTAAGCATATTCATGATTGAATTGAGCGTAATGGATGCGTGTGAAGGGAGTTGAAAAGAAATGTTTTCTGTTGGAACACTGCTATATAAATTGAGATACAATCGCTAGTTGATGAAACGACAACATACTACCGGTAACAATCATACGCACATTCTTTAACTGGCTTGTCACATATGCTGTTTTTGCGTACGAATAAATCAAACCGGTTAACCTGAATAATGCAAACACGGTTTTTTCGGATTGAACTGATAAATAAAACGCTCTGATCCAATTTAACAGATCGCCTGGCGAAGCATGTTTTTCCCCTTTTTGGTAATGAGTAATGGAGGATTTGGTTCAATTTAAAAGGTTAAGTTATCGTGTACATAGCAAATGAAGCGTGAACTGAAAAGCTGGGAAGCACTGGACAGCTGTTTTGACCTGGTTGGGTCTCGTCAGCGGTGCGAATCCGTCGACCCAAATGGGGATCGAACCCGAACCTCGTGGGTAGAACACAAGCATGCTACCCACTCGGTCAACGGGTGGTTGATCCATCATCATTCCATCATTTTCCACTCACAATCTTTTGCATAGAAGTCGGAAATAATGAACCTGAATTGCATTACGAGACAATCTATTCAAACAACGATACTTTCAGTGACTGCACGCTATGCTATGCAATTATTATTTTTCGTGAATGACTGTAGTACAACTGACTGCAATAAGTGGTTTGAAGTGACACAATATTTCTGCTCAAACAGCTGTTGCGTAATCAAAGATCTAAGTCGTTTCTGCCCAGTCGATGACGTAACGAGTTCACTAAATGGCCGAACACATCTTGGTGTAACCCAAGCTGGCGATGGACAACTAGTTTCAAATCGTTACGTTATCGAACGGGTAGAACAGAATCAGCTCTTCTATTTCAACGAAATTATTGTGGATTACGTTTGAAACACCAGTTATTCGGCGTAAAGTGCTGTAAACTGGCACATTGAAGCGAATAAATGAACCGAGTTTTTAACTGAAAGCGGTCGAAATTTCTGTGTATGAGTGACCGCGCTCGTACACTTCCTAAAGTTTTGGATTATTTTCGTTCCCACAAGCAAAACTATCACAGTTTCTGAAAATCAAATCAGCAACGTGATGCAAAATCAAAATACGAAAATTCGTCAATTTATATTTTTATTGAAAGTATATATATAAAAAACAGAATTTTCACCACGACAAAAGGTTTGCATCACCATGATCCTTGCACACCCAACTCGGTTTCAAAACGGGTGTCATAGACATCTAAAATATATACTTCACACATGGCAACTGGTAGCCTGGCGAGACAGCGACTGATAGATGTGTGTAAGCTACGGTCTCTCCCAATGACCCTGAAATAACGAGGATATCATCAGTGTACTTTCGAATTTGGGCTACTGTTACTCGAAAGGTACACCAACATTTACGAGTTTACATACAAAAAAACATGAAGTAGAGGCATTATTGATCAGGGTGTGTGCTAAAATAATGCGAATTCTGACATGATTCAACATTGTATAGAGGGTATTAAAGTGGCTTCGATCACTTAAGTTCATGGGGGGAGGAACATGCATACTTTAGTTGCGGTGAAAATTCTGTTTCTTTTCGAAATTTTTTCGATAAATTTAAATGTAATTCAATGAAATTTCCTACTTCGATTTTTCTTTCGAGTGCCGTCTAGGTCCTCATAAATCGCGATGGTTGGGCATGTGAGATCGGATATAATCCAAAAGTCTAGGGGAAGGAATGATTTCGTACTAATCTCACAACAGACTTGCATAATATTGAGTTACGTCATAAACACTAATATTATCGCATACTGGATGTGACCGATTACTTCATCTTTATAAACAAGCACAATGCAACAACAACAACAACCAGAAGATTGTCGATTAAGGATTCGAGAATCAATAATGTTCACTTTGTTATCAATACATTTGTGTTTATGTATATACACGGATACATATTTTCAGTTTTTACGAATGGAAGCTGCATAAAGCACGCCAATGTTTGGGTCATGAAAACCAAACTGGAATAAGGTAAACATTTTGGAGATGCGAAATCAACACTGCACATACACACACACGAACGAACGATCAGAAAACCACAACGACTCTGGTAATTAATCCGAACTGCAGATCAAAGTTTCCGCCTCGGGTAACATAGGTACTCAGCACAAGTGAGTATGTAACCAGCTTTGCATGCAAATCTGTACGGAATTTGCGTCACAGCTGGAAAATGTGTCATCAGTCATAGGCTACAGTAAACGGTATTCACATGGAACAAAATTTCCAATTCAAATTAATTTGTTCACAAACGTTTTTTGCGACGTTCAGCACTTGATGCATCACATTACAGAATGTCCCAAACCACTACAGCCTAGCCTAACTGGATTGCTTTTTTGTATACAAAAATCAAATAATACTTAATCCATTTGTCTATTATATTCATACAAAAAACATGGATAAATTATATCGTAATGTTTATGCACGCACGTTATTACCATGGGATTTTCAGTTTAATTCAAAATCCCGCCATGGTCCAAAGAGCGAGCTGGATTTATCCGCTTGAATAGTACATCTGGCAGGAGTTCAAGACACGTCATCAAGAGGTGGTTGGGTCATCGTTTCACTGTTACGACAACCTGTGCGATAAACATGACGAATCATAAAGTGTGAAATACGTATTAACCGGGCTCATCAAATGAAACTTGTTCACGTCTGGTTGAGTGTTCCGGCCATTGGATAACAAATGTTCGAGAGGTGAGCAAAATGTTTCCAGATTCACAAAAAGTTTTATTTGTTACAAAAAATAGGTATTACATTTTCTCTACCAGCGTGCATGCATAGTTCAATGCGCTCAAAATGATTGCTGAAATAGTTCGATCATACCGAAGCAGTTAATCCTTCAACAACTTCAATGAAGGACTCCACTGCAGCTGTTTTGGATTCCCCGCTTCATGTGCTTGAAATATGGGAACACAAAATG